GTGGTCTCGCTTGGACTTGCTACAGTGGGAGGAAAAGGCACGGCCCTGCTAGCAATGGAGGAAAGCACGCCTGCTACAACGTTGGCCCCGTGCAATTGTTGCTTGGCTACAGTAAATTGTGACTTCGTATGGCTAGTCAGACGTCATTGACGAATTGTATTGGCTACGCTTAGGCGTGTGGACAAACCCGTATGACTTCTGGACAGGCTTAAGGAGAGCAGACGCAGTCTAGTGGCAATGCCACAGCTTTCTAGGGCAACAGAGCCCTTAGCAGCTGGGGCCCAGCATCGAAAACCCCGAGTTGCATAAGGAGCGGCCTACTGACTTGGCGCGCAGAGTTAAGGCCCCAAATATGGAAATTGGAAATAAGATGGTTACTTTCGCATGAATTTCTTTTACTGATGATATTGAGTACCATTTTCTGTAGGGATAAATCAGGCAAATATGCTTATGTCTTCTTAAGATAAATTAAATTAAAATCTGTTCTCAATAGGTCACATCGCTTGGGAGTAAAAGTAGTAATTCACGATATTACTTTCGCAGGGAATCACTTAGAATTGTATCACTTTCGAGATTTACAATAAATCTATCTGCTACAAGAAAATTCTTTGAGTTACTCTTTATGCAATCTGAGTCTTCTCACCATGAGTCTGTTCTAAATAATCGAGTCTGCCTGATGTGAATGCACCGAGTTGTGCTTCATTCCACAACGTAGTCATCAAATAATCGTAGGGTCCATTATCAAAGCTGCTCAAATTAGTAATCGGGTATATATTGCTTATAGACGTCACTACTTTGAGCTCATCTCCTCCGAAAATAGTAAAGAAGCGTTGTATCTTTGTTTCTGAGCAGAGGATTGACTCGATGTCAATTAAGTCTCTTGTGGTTTCTCTAAACCGTTTACCATTCCATCTTAACGAATAAGAGAAAAAGGTGTTTGCGACACGACTTCGAATACGGCGTTTGAGTTATCTACGAGTATTCTTTATAATTCTCGTCTCCAGACGTTCGGACCATCGTTCTTCGATCCTTTAGACGAGCGATGTCATCCACATGTCCGTTTCCTCGAAGTCATATAAAGTGGCTCTTGTTCTCTTTTGATTCCTCAACCATTACCGATTATCCGATTTCACTTAACTAACACATAGTCTTGTAGAGGGGTAGCCAGTTAATGTAGCGCGAAATGGCTTTCAGAACCATTTTACTGGGTTGGCACTCCAGAAGTGATTACAATTT